CTAAACAGCTCTCCATCAAGAGTGTATTGAGAAATATGGATCACATTCAAGAACAATCTCTTGGCCATTTTCAGGTTTCTGTCGTTTTCTAGATGAGGCAATTCAAGAAGGATAAATGACAGGACAGATTTCTGGGCTCTCTGGTGCCCACTTCATAAATCCATCTCAACTGATGGAGGGCTGGTGGAGGGCCACACTCCAGGGAATGCTCTGTCCCCTGAACTACAACTCCAGACTTCCCCAAACGTCATTCTAGGCTTAAATAATTCAATCCTGTCTACGGGAGTATGAGGGTGTTGAGGCCATTTTTTTTTTTCTGAGAAAGTGGAAAGGGCATGAAACTATATGTACATTTGGATTCTTCCATTGAACTGAGTTTACTCTTCCAGGTAGTCTCTCCAGCCACCTTGACTTTAAGAGATCTGTTGCTCATTTCCATTAAAACTCTATCTTTTGCTGCCATATCTTTTCTTTCCTACTTTTCTCCCCCCTCCCTTGATATCTGGAAATTAACATGCATTTTTCTCTCAAATTATAAGGTTTCTGAGAAAACTTAGGAAAACAGAAATGCAAATGTTAAGGCAAAGTATCCACAATCAAAGCATAACCACTATTAATTTTTGTACATTCATGTCTTTTTTGTTTTGTTTTTACTCACATATATATATTTTTACAAAACCAAGAGATCACACTAGTTTGTGACCTGCTTTTCACCCCTAGGTGTAAGTGCTACCACGTTCTTGTTCAGAAAGGATGTACTGATTTATCCTTCTAATAGCAGATGTGAGAGTGACCCTATCCCCTCCACCCCCTTAACACTATCATCCTTTTTAATCTTTGCCAATTTAAAGGCAACAAATTATTGTTTTAATTTGCATTGCTTTGATTACTAGTGAGGTTAAACATTTATTTTCATGTTGATCACTTCCCTTGAATTTCTCCTCGTCTTTATAGGGACTAGGAAAAGCAGTCAGCCCAGTGCTATCCAGTAGCTGTTGCAGACTGGTTGATGGGTGGACAGTGGGTGAGAAGGTGGTGTGGACACAGGGAAGAGGATTGCCAGCAATGCTGCAGCAAGAAGGTCAGGTTGCTTCCTTGTCTTCTTTTATGAAACAGGACAGCAGAAATATCTACTCATTGGCAGGAAAAAAAAAATTAGGTATTTCAAAAGGACATATGAATATTGTGAAAGCTCGCCTCACACTCTCTTCCCCTTTCCCACAGGCCCTATTTCCCAGGTGTAACCATCTTCAGTCCCTCCTCCCTTGTTGTCCCCTCCCCCTGTGACCGTCCTCCTGCACGACCAGCTGCAATGGTCATGGACTAAGGGGATTGATGGGGAGAAAGGGTCAGGGATTGGAAAAGGAATCCGTTCCCCATACAATAGCTCCCAGGGTGGTCACAGAGAAGGGAAGCAGAAGAGACCACACCAGGCTTTTGTTGGTAATCAAATGGGCAGATTAAGAGTGAGTTAAGATTACCCCGTTTGCCTTGATTTCAGTCCATATGGAAAATGGCAAGCTGTTTATTGCAGCACCTGAGCCGTGTCCTTTGTTAACTTTTGTCCCTTGAGTGTAACCCTTTTCCTTTACGAAGTGGAAGAGAAAACCTGAGAAATGGTTTGACTTTCCTGCATGAAGCCTCCTCCCCATTTGGCAGGTCCTGTGGAGCCCTGCATCCACCTTTTATCCCCCTTGCTTCCAGACAGTGGTTTGAAATAACATCCATTGCCTCCGGGACCTTACCCAATTCTTTCTAAAGGAATCATCAAAGTCTTGCTTAAAACTGATGCCAAGACTTGAGTAGAATTTATAGTGTGAAAGGGGACCCATTCCTTGTTATCAGAAAATCGTCTGTAGGAAAAGTGATCTAATTATTCAAATTCTTAGTGTTAAGAAAATGGCTGTTTTAAATGGGAGGGTCCATCACCAAACTGATCTGGAACCTTTGAAACAACCTTCCTCTCTTTGGGAGACGCAAATGCTTGTAAAATGGAATAGGCCATTTTAGAACCAGTGTGTCACCAGCCTCCCACTAAGGAAAAAAACTAAGACATTCGAGGTGGAAATAATTCTGTCTTGAGATTCTGCTTTTTCTTTTTTTCCAGCTTTGAAAACTGATCACCTGTCCCACCTCTTCTTGTATCGTTTTCCATAGGGAATGCTTTTCTGCGAGGGTTTAATTTCTCCCCCTATTGTCTTCGATAAGATGGTTTAATATTAGACAAGATAACTTTTAGGCACATACAGTATATGTAACGTCGGGAGTTGTTCAAATAACAAACTCCTGTGTGAGGAAGCTTTGTCTTCAACCTAGTCCAACAGGGCTTGTTTTTTTGTGTTTTTTTAAGATTTTATTTGTCAGAGAGACAGAGTACAAGCAGGGGGAGTGGCAGAGGGAGAAACTGGCTCCCCGCTGAGCAGGGAGCCCGACACAGGACTTGGTCCCAGGACCCTAGGATCATGACTTGAGCCGAAGGCAGACTCTTCACCGACTGAGCCACCCAGGCATCCCCCAACAGGGCTTTTTTCAAGAAGTGTTCATTCTAAAAAGGCACGCCTCACTTTCTGGACCCAGGGGACAGGATGGCATAAACAAGACCCTAGGTGAGACCTCCATGGCAGTAATGGGTCGATGTGGGTGGAGAGAGGCACGGAGGGCACTGCTGTGTTGTATTAGTTGTCCAACCCTATGTAACAAATTGCCCCCAAACTCAGCACCTTAAAACAACAAACTGCTGATCTCACACGGTTTCTGAGTGTCAGGAACCCAGGTGTGGTTTAGCAGGCTTGGCTCAAGGTCTCTCGTGAGGCTGCAGCCAAGATACTGGCTGGGGTTGCAATCATCTCAAGGCTCAACTGGGGCTGAAGGATCTGCTTCCAAGCTCACCCACATGGCTGCTGGCAGGGCCCCTCAGTTCGTTAGCTGGCAGCCAAAGCTACTTGCCATGTGGGTCTTTCTCCACAGACTTCCTGAGTGTCCTCACAGCAGAGCTTCTCCCATAGCGAGTGATCCACGAGAGTATACGCCCGACACAGAAGCCTGTCTTTCCACAACGTGATCTTGGAAGTGACAGCCCATCACTGCTGCATTCCATTCATAAGTCCAGCCCACACTTCAAGGGGAGGAAAATGAAGCTCTACCTCTCTGAGAGGAGTATCAAAAGAATTTGTGGACATATTTTAAAAACCACCACGTGTATGATCCAAGTTGCCTATATCCAGTTTGCTCTTTGGTCTATAGCAAAGGTCAGTACATTTTTTTCTGTAAAGGACCAGATAGTAAAATATTGTTTTAGGCATCGTGGGCCAGACTGTCTCTATTGCAACTACTTAACTCTGCCAATGTACTGCAAAATAGCCATAGGTAATACATAAGTGAGTGTGGCTTTGTTCCAGTAAGATTTTATTTACAAAAATATGCATGGGGCAGATTTGGCCATGAGCTATAGAGGTTATTGGAAGTCTGTTTCCTTGCCATCAGAATTCCAAAAGAAATTCATCCACAAGACATAGCTGTCTGAGCTGTAGCTTGAAATTTAATAGCAAGATAATAGGAAGACAGAAAGGCAAATGTGAGAGATTTAGGTGGAGAAAAACTTCAAGACATGGGATTCTAGTTGTCCTCTGGGAAAAAGGAAAAATTGGAATATAAAGGAAAAGAGCTGATTTGGTACATGAGACAAGACAGTGTCTTCATTCCATTTAATCAATGAAGTGGAGATGAGACAAGAAATCTGAGAAGAGATGTCCTCTAGACAACCAGAACCGGGGCAGGGGGGCTGGATGATAGTGTTCCGGTTCTGACTCAAGGTGTGAATTAAAGGACCCATCTTCACAAAGCTCCTCAGCTCCAAAGAGCCCAGAGTTCACCAGAGATGTGTGTGTGTGAGGGAAAGACTTGTGAGTCCCACAGATGGGGTCGAAGGGAGGAGCTGCTGGGAACACGTAGAAATAATGGAACTTCAGAGGGGAAGGGGTGGGGGCAAACATTTAATTTTGCACTGTTCACAAATAAACTTCAAGTGATTAGTTTTAGCTAACATAAGGCTAAGCATCTATAAGTTCTTAGACCTAATTTCCCCCTCCATGTTCTTTAGGTTTGGTTTTGGTTCCTTAGGTTTCATTTTGCACATACGAACTTGTTCCTCAGGGCTGTTTATATTAAGCTTATATGACTGAGAGTCAAGCAGAGGCGGAGCTGAGAATCCCACTTTTCCTTAACAGTCACCTGTAATGGAACTTTTAACCTAAGATAGTTTCCTGACTAAATTATATATCATCCTCAAGAAGGTGGTTGGTAAATCTCACCATTAAAAAAAGTTACATTTTACTTTTTTTTCAGCCCCAAACACAGCCATTAGTCATTTTTAAGTTAATCTTAAAGGTAAAATCTTAACAACCTCTTTGATGAGATGTGCTTTGGAAGGAACACTCTGCTGGTAAATTATTTCTCAAAGCGGTTTTTGGTCTCGGGCAGTGGCCCGAGACCAAAATGGGGCCTATCATGACCCTATTTGGATAACGGGGCATAACATCAACACTCCTTTGTTCTGTTAAGGTTTTCTCCCTCTTATCTCGAATCTAAACCTAAATAATGAGTAAAAAATTAAAAAAAAATTTTTGCTGCAGTTTTCTTTGCGAGAAATACCCTACTTCCTTTGAGGTGATGTCACTGAATTTAAACAAATTACTTCCATAAATAATTCCTGGGTATAAAATAAAGAGGTGGGGACAGTGTTTTCTCTCTTTAAGGTGCTCATAGCTGGGAGAGCAGTACAAAGACTTGGAACTTTAGTCATCCAGCTTCTTACCTTGTGATGGAAAGCATATAAATGACATGTCCAGAGGAAACCGGCTTGGAAGTCTGATCCAGTCAGAGTCCCTCTAGTGCCAGAGATGCAGGTCAGGAATTCAGTGAGCACTGGATACCGCCATCACCCTGATCTGAGTCCATCTCTGTCAAGGTAAGATGCTAACAACCCAGTCTTTCCAAAGACATATGTGAACTATTCCAGTTTTACTAATAACTTTATTTAAATAAGACACAGGAACTTCTATACTGAAAAAATACAAAACAAAAGCCACACATTTCCTCGTGTAAAGCCATATTGTATGGTAACTCGAATACTGTTCAGCGCAGTGGCTAGAATTAAACAGTACAACTATATACAAAATTTAAACAATTTCTGACAAATTTCTACAGCTGGATGTAGGATACATTTGAGCTCAACAACTTCTGGGAAATTTACATGGCAAAGCATAAGCTTTAACACATTTGGTTCAAAACTTTAATATATGCTAAGAACAAATGTACAACACAATTAATATTTAGTTTCTCATGAGAAAATAAAAGCACATGTCACTATAAATACCGTACATCAGATTTCATCACCAAAAAAGCATTCAGTCCAACTTTCAGAAATTGATATTGATACTATTGCATCATATTTGGACAAAAGCAGAGCGTAAGATCAACACATTATGTAATGCTAAACCAGTTATCAGAAGTTAATGGAGCTCATATTTATCTTACAGAACTAATAATTTTCTCCCTTTAACCATAATCTACAAAATATAGTATTTTCATCAAGGCCTGAGATTATTAGGGTTAAAGGTGTCTGCTGCTGAAGAGATTGTTTTAAAAGGTTCCCCTGTGAAAATGGCAAAAGTAAACTGAGTCCTTTTCCATGACAGTCTCCTACAATATAACACTGACTAATATAAAGGAGCCAGGATGCACCTTCAGGAGAGAATATTACTGCAAACTTTGGTGGAAAGAAGATAATTGGGATCATAACAAAATAATACATAGAATACATACACACGCAAACATATACATATATATATATATATATCATTTCTTAAAAAAATCAATGGTGTTGCTTTCTTCTCTATCACCTCTTCCTTCTTCAGCCTCCTTAGAAAATAAAACCAAGAAACCCCGAGGAATGACTGAAGGGAACTGAAACGTTCCCGTGACTGTAGGCACCTTATTCCCCTAATTCTTAAGAAAACGGTGCCATATGCTGTAGGTACAGATGAAACAACTCTATGCTTTACTGAACTAAAAGCAATGGAATAAAAATACGAAAACTTCCCTTTGCTTTTGGAAACTCTCTGTGCTGCAGAAAACAAAGTTTGAGAGTTGGGCTCTTCCACTGACCACTCGGGATTATCTAGGGCTCTCTTCACACAGCTTTGTTGAAAATTCAGGTCTGAGTCTGCAAGTTCAAGGCAATTTACTTGGGTTTTTGCTTTACTTTGCACATCTGAAATACAGAACCATCCAAGATACTGTGAGGAGAGGCCTGAAGAGACAGCCGCAAAATGCTGCTTTTCTAAGTCCCCAAACAGCCAGCTTCCCGTGCAGCATTACTTCTGAGACCCACACATTCTCTCTCCACATGAATGCAACTAATGCACCTCAACTGCTTGAGAAAAACAATAACCAAAAGCATGTCATTTGTAAACCCTCAAATTAAAGAACTTCCGAGAGAGAAACTGAACAATATGCCTTTAGCTGAAACAGCATTTCCTGACGCTGATGGCCAACATAAACAGAAAATCTCACCCATCCCCTGTGAAAGTTCACTGTTTTACTGTTAAACCTAGACTTTCTTGTTAAATTCCATCACACACAATTGGAATGTTTATGTACAGTCTGGTACCGGAGACACTTTCTTTGCAACATTATAAGTCATGAACTGAGCAACACCTGAACTTGTTTGAAAAAAAAAAAGCCACATTTACACATGTTGAAAAGTGAATTCAACAGTTGTTTTACTTGTAACCGCATGACAAAAATGATGTCAGACACCACAGATTTGCTGGTTCTCCTCATGTTCACCCATGTCCAGGATTATTGTTCTCCTAGGGTTGAATGCACTTCTTATTCTAAGAATGTGGAATGTAATGAGGAAAGGGAAATGCATAAAATAAGGAAAGGCAAAAGAGTGATGTTCCCTCTTTAGCTTTTTAGCTGTGAAATATTTAATATCCCAATATGATATACATTCCAAGTTACCTGAGTTTAGACTTCAACTGAAGTACCTGAAGCTAGGCCATAGGGTGGGCACTGTGCAACTGTTGTGGCCATTTATTATTATTATTTTTTTGCATTGTATGTATTACAGAAGTTAGAAACAAACACCTGGATCAATTGTAAACATAATCCTGAAGTACAGTATTTTCCATAGGACAAAACACAGCAAGACATTTTCTATTTAGACAGGCAACTTTTTGATATAGAGCTTATTTATACTGAAGAATTTGGAACAAAACACGGGACACAGTACTAATCTGTCAAACATACTATGAAATGCATAGTCTCCACTTAAAATGCTGAATGACACACACATTTTGCAAGCAGTACTGCTTTCCACAAAAACTGGTGAATAGGAGTTCCGTCCCTGCCAAGATCAGTGTTAAGAGATACTTTATGATGCTGATAAGTATTCTGTTGGTGGTGGTGGTGTTCCGAAAGTTTGTCACTCCATGCAGATAAGATGTCTGAGGTCTAGTTCCTAATCCGTGAAGGTAGGGTAGAGGCCAGCTCCCCCTTTGCTTTAGATGATCACATAGTTCTGAGCAGAGATGTGTTCCTCACCCTGCAGGTCCTGCAGGAGCTGCTGCTGCTGGGATGGCTGTTGGACGGAGGCCTCCAGGGCGCCCACCGAGCTGGTGTCATCAGAAAGAGACGTAAAGGAAACCCGGGAGGAGAGCTGCTCGACGGTCAGGGTGGCCAGGGCCGAGCTCTGGCCTGAGTTAGGAGAGTTCTTGAGCATCAGGTCGGAGGCAGGTAAGAGAGGGCCTAGAAGTTTTACAGGACAGAAAGCTGATCCGGTTGGGATGAAATTAACCTTGTTTTTGTCAGGACATGAAAAGAGAGGGGCTGAGATAGGCTGACGAGACCTAAAACCGTAAAACAAAATGACATTCACAATCACTAAAAGCTTCCAAGCTTTCTGACTTAGCTGGAGTTCTCTACAACAGCTACAATGTGAATGGCAGGGAATGAGTTAAGTGTACACAGAGGGGTAAACATCTTCCATAGCACAAGTCAGCTGGCAGACCAGGGACGTACACAGCACCAAGTGATATTTGAGACAAAATGATTTTCAAAAGGACGGGGCAAATTTTTTCAGACATCATTAGTTTGCTTTCAATCATTTAGGAAGATGGAAAAACCTCCTATGCTTTAGTTAAAGATTATGCCAGGTAGAATGACCTTTTCTGTTAAGGAAAAGTATAATGGGAGAGGGATTACCTAATCATGTATTTGGTTTTAAGCATTTTCTCCTTTTTCTGCATCACTATACATACTTCTAACAGATCAGAAAAAAAAAGTTTCAGTAATTTCTCAAAGAGCCAGTCAGCCCAACAGAGCAGGGTTCTCAAGTCTTTCCTCCCTTCCCATTCCCAGGAACTAAGCCATCAACTCCTGCAATCCTGCAAGACCGGTCTCTGTCCCCTTCCAGGTCGCAAGAGTACAGCGGCCTCCCCCAGGCACCGCACTGGGACAAAGGGATGAGTGAGTCCAACAGCTACACAGCCTTTTCTTTTTTTTTCCTAAGCCACTCTGCCAAGTATTTACAGCATGAACTTTGTTTCCTTTAATTTCTATTTTACACACACTGAAATTTCAAAAAGAAAAAAAAAAACCGTGCAAATGAGAGGTCTACATTAAACGAATACACATGCTAGATGTGTCTACAGGGAGACAAGTTAGTTTCCTTCTGGCCTGTGGGATCCTGTCATAAGGCCAGCCACACTTGGATATTAACTTTGCCGCTCAACGCCTTCTCGTTAGCCATCCAAATTAATAGAGCTTTTGAAAGGAAAATTTGTAGTGATTAAAAAATAGATCTTTTAGGTCGTAGGGATGAATTTCCAGGTTTCTTTGTACTAGCTTATGTATTTCCAGCACACAGGCTCCAGTTGTCCACTAAGATCCCTCCTGCCTATTCAATTCCCTTTTCATAATTTGGTTTTGAAACACATTATCAGCTGGATGGAGTAGTTGATTCATCTGTGATCAACTGGTCTCAGTAAAAAGCTTTACAGCTTTGCAGATCCCAGCTGATAAAAAGACATTACTTACGCCATTTCCTCAAAGACCTTCACTCGCTCACATCCCTCTGGGGGCTCCCGTTTGAACATGTAGCTGTTGTTTGGTTTGGGAGATGAAGCGTACTTGGGTAACGGTGAGCTACTCCCACTGTCTGTAAATTTAAAGCAGTTATATTAACTAGTGATTGAAAGCTCTTTTAAATTAAGTTTGACTTCCAAACAAGCAGCCTTTTGCACAGTTTATCCACTATGGCCCCTCTGCTTCCACCACAGAGCTTCCTTTATTGCAAAGCTATTACTAACACCCTCATGTAGTACATTTCTTAGAAATAAAAGCTTCGATGCAACAGCAATCTGCCATACCACAAAACATAAAAGGAGGTTATTTTGGTCCAGAAACTGCATTTTGAATAAAGTAGAGCTAAAATCTGGAAAACAAATACAGTAGCATGTATTTCAAAATGTAAATGAATGGGGTAATATGTATAAATCATGCAAAAGAATTACAAGAAATTATAATACAGGGTCCTCTAGGTTTTCTCACTGTCCCACCAATTTTAATTGAAAATTTTAGTATGTGGAATAATCATTACAAACGTTCTTAGCAGAAACATTATTTTTACTAAACACCATGAATAAATACATGCAGGGGAAAAAGAGGTTTACAACACATAATGTCTTTTTCCCTTAGCCCACTATGAAGAATAAAATTTGCTCAGAATTTCGCCTTTAAAAGATCTATATAAAAGAATTTTTCCAGCAGTTTGTATTTTTGCTACGAGAAGCATGAGAAGTCTAAAAGCATCACTACCTAATATGTTTTCTTCATATTTTTAACCAAAAAAAGAAAATGGTCTATTCATGAAAAGCCATAAAACCTATATGTAATTTCTCCCTTTCCTACCTGGCAAAGGATTTTGGAAATTCAAATCCACCAAAATGTGTCATTATCTTTGTAAGATGCCAAGTTGTAAAGTCAGTCACATACCTGTATAAATACAATAGTCCCATTTAAACAAATTCTGACTTAATGCAAAAAAAATCCCCACTGCTAAAATACTAAGCACATGATCTATTGAGATGTATGATTTTTATGTGTATTTTTGAAAGACAGCATTGCTACCATAATTACGCTTGTCACAATTTTGATGAGTTGCTTTAGTTTAGGCTACAGAACACAGCGCAACATTCAGAATCTGAGTAATAGGGATGTTTTTATCATCATTAATGAACTATAATACATGCTTAGAAAGTAGACTCTTGAGGCACACTTGGTGTCTTTGGTGAATGATTCAAAGAGCATCTATGTTAGTCTTGGGACTGGAGATGCGTGCTTACATTTAAATATGGCCATAACTCTGAAATCAGTGCCTACCAAATAATGAGGCCACACCACTGGGAAACCTAGAAAACCCCACAGTTTCTCTGTCACTACTGTTACGGATATTCCTACGGATTATAAACAGTCCTGTGGAAGGAAATGGGTCTTAGAATTAAGTTTGGTTTCTTCACGTGCCATTCGGATGTAAGGATTTTCTTAGATTAGACATTCGTCTTACATTAAACAAATGGGAGGCGGGAGGGAGAATATAATTTTCTCTCGTAGGTGGATGCAAAACATCATCAACCTGGCTAGAGTCTGAGTTTGCTGCTCTCTATTTGAGCAAGGCTAGACCGAAAAGATTGGTCCACAATCAAGTGGCGAGAACGAGGCCTTGAGCTCGGTGTAATACAGCCTGACCCCACTTTCCCATCCAAGCAGCAAGAAGGCCCATAGAGGCCACACAAGACAAAGGAGAGGTGACGTGTGATGCCTCCGTGGAGCTTCCTATTGGTGATGGCAGTCCCTGGGGGAGGGCACAACTGGCCTGAAGCCGTGGGCTCAATGGCTGTGACAAGCCTTTTTGGACTGTTGGCGGGGGTGTGACCATGTCAGTGGTCGAGGACTCTCCCCATCAGCACGTCAGAAAAGTCATCTTGGCCACAGCTGCAGTCTTCTGGGCTCTACTTCTTTACTACGTCACTAGGCCGACCATAGGATTTCTCTGCTGACTCCAGTAATGGCTTCAAGGGCCTCTCCCAGAACTGAAAGCTAGATGTGAGTTGGACAATCTGTAAAACTGATTATCTTCCTATTAACATCTACACTACATTAGTGTTTCTTCTTAAATGTTTTTCTAATTTCAGAGGTTTATATTTTGAGAGTTTTACCCACTTAAACATTCTTGTTCTTTTTGGGGGGTGGAGGGGGCTGATTAATGTTAAAAAATAAATAAACATACTGCTATCCTAGAAAGATAGTATTCAATACTATTACCTCTCTTTGCCTCTTCAATTTAAGAAGTTGGGTTTTGTTGTTGAGGATATATATATGTAACATTTATTTGAATGTTTGGTGGTCTGGAAAGACAAAGCTTGAAAAAAAAATTGAAACCATCAACCATTTTGTTCAATCTGGAGTTTTTTCCTCAAGTGAGCATGCAATCTGGTAGAGGACGAAGAGGAACAGGGAATGGAGACATCCCATCTGAGATTTCAGCTCTGTCACTAGTTGTGTAACTTTGAACACAACTGCCTTTCTGAGCTTCTAGATAACTAAAGGAATTACCACTCCTAAATTCTGTGACATTTTTAATGGTTCTAACATACAAGGTATTGTTTTGCTTTACAAAATGGCATGATATAAAAACAACCCTCATAGGGGTGCCTGGGTGGCATAGTCGGTTAAGCGTCCGACTCTTGGTTTCAGCCTAGGTTGTGATCTCAGGGTTGTGAGATCGAGCCCCGCACTGGGCTGTGCTCAGCGCAGAGTCTGCTTAAAACTCTCTCTGCCCCTCCCCCCATACTCTCTCTTTCTCTCTCTCTAAAGTAAATAAATAAATCTTTAAAAAATAAATAAAAACAACCCACATGAACAACCTATTCTATCCATTCCAGACTTGGAGTCTAATTGATTCATTTGAAACTCTGTGTTGAATTTAATAAACATTTCAGTAACAGAACATAAATGTGAGGTAAGCATGCCTGCTCAGGAGATTCAAGATGAAAAATCTCACAGTAATCTTAATTCAATCCCTCTTATTCACACGCATGGTAAATTTTCACATTCTGTTATCTCTCAGTAGGAAGTAACTAGACATGTAGTTCACATTAAGTGTTACTTTATGTTCTTACATCATAGCCAATGTCAATTAATAAAATGAAATGTAACAAATATGATTCTGCCTGTATTTATAACAGTCTTATCTATCTTTATAAAGAATCACCCAACTCTGAAAATCAGGAGTATGGAAATATTTTATTGGCTATTATAACAGATCATACTTACATATGTGTACCATATTTACCATTAAAATACAAGTAGCTTGTCAAATATTTTTAAACTCATGATAATGAATTAAAGCTTGGAAAAAATTAGAGACATTTTAAACAATGGAATTCCATATAGAAACAGTATTTTTTAAACTACATATACTTTTATAGTTTAAGAGTTTTCTGAATTTCTCCTTATATATAGCCTTCATTATTTCTGGTATATTAAGTACGGTCCACAATTTCAGTATTAAAAAAATCGTATTATTCAGTTGTTATTCTGTGGGTAGGTATATAAAATCTTTGCCATGGTTCTATTCTAGCCCGAAGTCTTTAGATGTGCTCTATCTCCTACTATCAGATCACTTTATCAAATTAAGTGAAATTAGTACTAAAACAAGCTGTGTAATTATAGAGCAGCAGTTCTTAAGTCTGGTTTCACATTAGACTCATCAGGAGATGTTTCCAAAAATACCAATAAATACCACTGTCCAGACCTCATCCCTAAGATATTCTGATTTAATTAGTCTGGGGCTCCTCCCCAGCATGTGCTTCCCCCCCCTTTTTTTTAAAGCCCCTAGATGCTTTTAAAACAGAGCCAAATTTGAGAGCCAATCATGAAAACGTCAAAACACCGGTTTGGAGTCAGGCTACCTTGCGTGACTTCTACCAGGCCTGACACCATGACCTAGGAAAAGTCTGATCCCTTTTTTGATCTGTAAAATGGGACTAACCACTGATATGATGGCTATGAAAAATGGGTATAAAAGAATCAGGATAGCACCTGAAACAGTGAGCTCTCAATAAATACGACTGTAACAGTAGAAAGAACACGTCATTCCTAGTTTGCAAACTTAAAATGGTGAACCATTCAGAAATTAAGCAGCTATTCTACTTTCTCTCGGCAGAAGAGAAGAAGGAGAAAGTTATTCTTAAAAGATCCACACATTCTACTTCTATTCAGGTGCATAAAGGTATGATTTGGTGTTTGGTGGGGAGGCAGGGTAATATCTGAATACCAGATTCCCCAGGTTAGATTGCCTAGCATAAACTCTACTGCTCATAAGGTCATCCTTCAGCATATAGAAATCTATTATCCTGAAATTCAACTCAATGTCTAAAGCACAGATTCTATAGATTCCTCTATGAAGACCTAACCAGGAGAATGTCCTTCTTATTCTATCTTCACAGCAGAGTAAGAGCCTGGGTGAGTGAGGGTAGAGTTCCACCAAAACTATACTCAATGACAGATGAGGAACATAATGAAAAGTTAGCCAATAGAGTTAGATTAGAAATATGACTGACCAAATAGGACCTAAACAATTACCACTCTAGTATTAAAATTACTTCTTTTGAAATTATCAGCTGTAGTGTGGTTCAATGGCCTAATGTAATCAGGGGAACACAAAACTGTATAGCCTTTCTTGGCAACAAATTTTGGAACCAGCCGTCATTACCAATTGTATTGAAAGTGTGTTCAGTTAACTCCAAGACCAAACTGGGAACAAGTAAGGAGAAAATCTGTCTTTTAGAAATAGTCTCTAAGGTGTCTCTAAAGTTTCAAAGTCAACCTGTTATGAGAAGGTTACAGAATTTTAGTAAAACAAGACATCAGTTGTCACTAATAGCTCCCTTCGACCAGCATGCAATAAAGGGTAAGGAGGAAAAACTACCATCAGAACCTTCACTACTTAAGTTTTTGAACTCTCTTTCAAATAAGATTGTGTTGTGAATACTGGGCTTGACTTACATTCCAAATGTTTGGTTCCATTAATTAAATATTTGTCATATGGGGGGAGGTGTTTTAATCACTTACTGTTCCCTCAGTATTCACTGAATT